GGATTTATATGTAATAATATTTTAAAATATGTTAAAAACATTTTTTTTGTAATAATCGATTAATAAAAAGGTAATTTATTTATTTTTATAAATATAATAACTAAGTTTTCTTATTAGAACTAAATAATTATTCTAATTATATTTTTAATTTTATATAAAAAATAATAACTTTATCTTATATTTGATTATGTTTATCTACAGTTACTTACACATATTCAGACATGAAACTTAATAAGTTGTACATACGCACAATTTACTTGTAATTTTGAATTTAAGTAATATGCACCAATAAAAAGTATTTCATGTATAAAAGATAATTTTTAAGAGTTTTTGTCAAATGTTTTAAAATAGAGTATAGATTCCGTGGACAATTTTGTGGATTTTAGAAGGTTTTGAATTATTTGCATAAAAACCAAGAGGGTGGTTTGGATTTTGGACTTTGGCATGTCCACTCCACCCAAAAATTAGCCCATAATTTCAAGACCACCATCAATCGTTGGCCCAAATTATGCGACCCAACAGGCAACAGCTTGAGGTTCCAAAAAAGCTGACGAACACTTGATTTACGCCTAGATATGGTCTACATCAGTTCTGGTCTCAAACAATATTTCCGTAATCGGTACGAGTCTCTATCAAAAACCCAAAGCCCGATTAAGGTACTTTATAATCAGTTTCCGCCCAGCCCCAAATTAGTCCCACTTTTTTTAAATAAAATATCCATTTTTTACTTATAATTTTTTTACGAATACAAAAATGTTACTATAATACACTTTAAAATATGTATTGGGTCAATAAATTAGACTTAAAAAATATGTTTTATTGTAATTTATTAAAAGCAGACGCCGAGCACGAGCCGAAATCACGAATTATAGTGAGAGAACGTTTTTTTTTTTTTTTTTTTTTTTTTTTTGCGTTTATGAGTTGGTATCTTACCCCATATACCATATGAACATATATATTATGTAAAGAGGATCAACGAGACAAAAAAAGGTCAAAAATGAGAAAAAAAAAAAAAACCAATCCAACGACTATAAAAAACACAACATTTTCTGGAAAATCAGGCCGGGCCCATAACTTGTCCCAAGCCGGTCCTGATCGAGCCGGGCCTTGGTTTTTTGATGAAAATTGTAACCAGTCTTTAACAGACGGTTCCAAATTAGTCCCAATCCATTTGGCCATCTCTATTTATGACCTAAATCAAAACTTGGTCGGATCCCGCCCCTGACTGATTATGTCCCAGTGGTTTGGGGCTTGTTACATTATTTAATAAATTTCAAGGTCCGATACGCTCTGGGACTAGGTTGAGTGTAAACATATATTTTCTATTATTACTCAACGAACCAATAGTATTAAACAATTTAAATCAGGTTATAT